ATGCACACACTGACATCGATGGTGTCAAGCTACATTGAAAACCAAGCTACAGTAAATTTTGACCCAAACATTGCAAAAGACTGCACAAAAAACAACTGCAGAAGGCAGGCAAAGAAATACATTGTGTTTTGGGAAATGTTTAATATTCAGCAAAGTTCAAAACAACTGACAACGTGATACTATACAATTTGAATTTATAAAAAAGTAGGCCTTCCAGAATGTCAGGGCTTTTAAGCAACACCTCTTTTAAGATAGATGTCCCTTCATAGTGTCCAAGTCTCTTTTTTTTTTATCCACCTATCCATACATCCATGGTCTGTTTAACCAATCATCCCTTCTTCTATTGTTTTGATCTCTCTATTTGACCATCCATCTACCTATCAATCCTCAAACTCAGACTCAAATTCTCAACACTGAATTGATTTAGCCTATGTTTGGAAACTTTCAGTTTCATAAAAACCACTGCGAGTTTTTTTAATCAACTATGGGTAGGTCTACAGGAAGTACCTGTTTCACACCACTGGAAATAGAGATTTTAATGTAATGTAGAAATAAAGGACCACGCTGCAGCTGCATAGAAGAGAGAGTTGGGGCCGGATCTATCAAAGGTTTGCGTGTATAAAAACGTGAGCTATTTCACTGCGCACGCTAAAAAATGTACAAACTGATCTATCAACAGCGTGCTAAAAGGATTTGGTCTTTAAAATGTGCTAAATAGTGTCTCTTATCCATTTAGTACTTTTTCTGCAATGAATATGCAATATGGGGCGTTTACATGCAAAAAGTGCGTCTTGTGGGAGGAGAACATGTAAATATATAAATTTAGCACTCGCAAAGTGATTTATCAAACCTGAAAGCAATTTTGCTAACGGTATCTGACTCTATATTTAACACGTTTCAAAAGAAGGTGCAAATGGTCTGTATGCGTAATTGCGCACACATGGCAGCGGTTATTGCCGCAAGAAGGAGACATTGAAATGAAGCAAGGAGACGCAGAGAACGCAGTTTTTCACTCCGTGTGAATATTTTTGGAATGAACGAGGAAACGATCAAAACATATCGTTTATCCAGCATTGCCATTTTGGAGCTGCAATTCCAGTGATTTGCTCCTCACAGAACATCAGCTGTACTTGTTCCTCAATGCTGGTCAGAGGCATCTCATCTACTGTGCCCCCTCCTGTTTTGTTCGCAGATGTTTTGTTATATGCCAGTTTTTCTTTGGTTCGCCTTCTAATATCCTGGTATCTTCTTTTTACTTCATCCACTGTTCGCAAGGTTTCACCAACAGTGTTTACTTTATTACAGGTTTGTTCACATATAGCGTTCCTCTGTGTGACAGTCACATTTCTTTGCTGTAGCTCACTTAAATGCTTGTTGGCTTCATCCACCAATACCTCCATTTCCATGGGGTCGAATTTCCTTTTGCGCTTTCTGCTGTCCAAACTCGCCATGCCGCAAACCACCAAACGCGCAAAACCATCATTTAAATAGGGTGTCTCCAACAGTTTTGCACCTGCCACCAGTTACGCAATCGCTCTTGTTAAATCACCCGCAAACCATGGTTCAGCCCCTCGCGCAAAATTCCAGTTTGCGAGCGCAAATTACTGCACGCAAAATTGCATCTTGATAAATCCGGCCCTTGGTGTAGGGGAAGATTGCTGCTCAAGTTAATGTGTTGGAATAGTCGCTCTGGAAGGCCATTTCAACATTCCTCAAAATCCCTCTCATTTTTTAGATCACAAAAATAGGATTCTTCCTTGTTAAAATCACATCCCCAGACAGAATTGTAATAACACATTTTGTAAATGACATTTTTGCCAGCAGAAAGAGAATTTCAAAAAGAAAATGAAAAAAATTGTACTAATAAGAATTTAATTTCATATACCTTGAACACATTTTAAGTATGCATTTTGACATTTATAAGCTTAACTGAATATGTATTTCTGAAACATAAGATTAGTTTCTAATCATTAAAATATGAAATCATGACCTGTAAAATTAAGAATACAGAGATCTGATATTCCTCTTTAAACATCCAGAATGTTTATTTTAGATATGAAGAATTTAATTTTATTCAAAAAGTTCATTTTGACAAGAAAAAACTGTGATACAAATAAAAAAAATAGCTACTAATAAATACCCAAAAGGCCTGCCATAGTCTGTTCTTATCATGGAAACTAGTTTACTGGTTGAATGGTAGTGGATCAGGTGAAGATGAAGTATAGTAATTGTTCATACAGTTGAGACTTGAACATTATCTCAAGAGGTTCCTCCTCGTTTTATTTCCGTCTTCCATTACACAGTAAATAAGCATCATTGTGCTCTCACTGATATTAATTACTTATAAATACCTTTAAAAGAATGCTGCAAATGTTAGGACAGATGAGGTCATAGCTGTATGTGATGGATTGTGAAGTAAAACCATAACGCTCATAAAGATAACTGAATATAAAAGGACATCTATGCAAGGTCTGAGAACCCTCTCCCTATAAATATTTAATTATTTCTGAATTACCTAATATGTCTAACAGACTTGGTGACTAATTTTCTTTTTTTTTTTGTTCACACAAAGCTATGACAGAACTCTACTGATTGAATCAGAAAATAAAATAGCGTGACTGGTGACAGTGAAGAAACAAGAGGGAGAAACAGAGTAAACTCTCTTGGTGAAATGGAAAACTCAGAGATTCTCTGATTTCAGGTTTAGAAAACTGGTTTTCAGTAAACCTGCTTTGTTAAGCAGGCCCCAGGTTTACAACATAATCTGCGGTGACAGTTGCTTATTAGAAAGTTATTGTCTTGCATCTGATATACTGTATGTAGGTTTAATTCCAGCTGCCTTCCTGTCACACATCTCTGTGTGATGCATTTGACCACAAATTACTTACTGATCTGCATGTTTAAGAGTGATTAGGTAAAAACGGCTTTAATGAAGTTTTATGAATATAGTCAATGTCTTTGTGAAAAAGTTGGTATACATACACAGACAAACAGTTTAGATTTTCTTTAGAAGAATGCATTTCATATTTCGTGGTTTCCTAAATTATCGCCTAATGACTGAATGTTAAAAAGATCAGCCATTAGTCAACCAAATAAACCAGTTAAACCTTATTTGAAAAAAGTTTATTTTTAAAACACAATCCATATAGGTATATATTGAAAGAAAAACTAAATCAATAAGGCTGTATTTTCAGATTGTCCAAAAAACATCAAAAAACACTTTACGTTTTTTAAGATAAAATCAATCAACTCGCAGAATGGAAACGTGTTTTCAAGACAAATTGACCATTATATTAACAAAATCGAATGAGAATAAAAAATCTGGATTTGAAGTTAAGTAAAAATAAATTCAGGATGGATAAAAAGCCAATATTTAAAACCATTGTAAACAAAATAAAAGGCACATTTACGATGAAATAACTTTTAAACAATAAAACAGCAGTTTCAAAAGAAATCTAAAACTGAAACAGTTTGATAAAAGAAACAGCATCTGTTAGACTGGAGTAGTGTATATAGAAGCAATACAGGTTATAGTATGGTATAGATTTTCCCCTTTTATAAATCAAAGCACATGCCAAGAGACTTGTTGCATGAACTTTACAGATGGCAAAAAATCGAGAGCCTATTTTATGCATATAAATGAATGAATATTTGACCTGCTAATTGAATCATGGCCAATATAAATTTGCATCATTATTACATCTCTAACACAAGCAATAAACACAGTATGACTGGATGGATTATTTTTCCTAAAGAAATAAAACAACAAACCTAGAATTAGAATGACAATTAAATGTAAACCTAGCCAATGATGAAGTATTACCTGAAAATATTACACTTGTGCAACAAAAAGAGCAAAGAAGTACTTCTAGATTAGATCAATATCTGATGTAAATAAACCAGACACAGCTAAAGGATATACTAAAATCTTAAAAATGGTAAAAAATTATTTTCTAATAAATATAGGCACTTCTAAACCAATGAAAACTGGTAGCCTAAAGTTTTAAATTAATAAGCCTGGGATGGTTCACAAGCAAAACTCTCTAAAAAAAATAAAAGAAAGGCAAATAAAAAGAAGACAATATAGATTAGCTGAGGGTAAATCTGTTACCAGTGAAGTAGAAATTGCAAACCAACAGGAATAGTAGATCTGTCAGTGCAATAACAGCAGAAGACGATAATAAACATGATGACACAAGTTAGATGTTTTGTTTTCTTTTGCACACACAGTACATTGTTTCGCAAAAAAGCCCACTTAGAATCGGAAGACCGTCTTTGTTCAACGAGTTGCACAACGAAATTGAAATGATCAAATACTTGAAAAAATATTTGTGAAAATTATGAAAACAACCCACAAAAACTAATTTTTTAGCAGGTATGTATGAACTAGCAAAGTGACACGCATTTAAAAAAGCTGGAGTTTTTCCACACAGTTATACTGGATTATAATGAAACCCTTGAGGAAATAAACCAAAGACAGCTCAAACTCCACCTTTGGAATGTAACGTGCAATAGAAGCTACAAAAGGGAGGGAAATAGACTATTTTCTAATGGAAAATTCTTCTCAACAACAAAACATTTTATTTCTGTCAGTAAAATCAAGCACCTAGTAGATGCTGAAAGTAAATGTTGACTAGACATGTTCTGAACACTTGTCATGAGACTGAAAAGAAAAAACAAAAAATAGGAACCTAGGAGCCAAACTCAAATCCACGTAATACCCGCTACCGCTGCCTTCCCGTCTGCAGCAGCATTTCTCTATGCTCTGCAGCTGAGCAGAGGCACGCTGAAAAGAAGAGAGCCGCCGTCGCTGCAGACATTGAATGATGCATAGTAAACAGGACGGAGCAGCGGCTGTAATGACTAATAAGACGCAGGTTGAGCACACCTTCACAGCTCCACATTTGTCCAAACGAGAAACTAATTCAGCAAAAACCAAAGTAGAGGGACAGCGAAGACAAGGCCGTTTAAAGAAGCAACAGAAAAAGTTAAAGCCTTACCTCTTGGTCAGATCCAAGAAACCAAAGATTTGGCTAAGTTAGAAAACCATAGAGCTGGTTTAGTCCTCCAGGAATTCCTCCAGAAAACCAATCAAAGGGTCCAAGTAATTTGTTCCAAGATAATCTCAATCAGGATCAAAGTCTTTAGTCGTGCAAAATGGGAAGCATTCGGCTAATTTTCTTCAGCTTCACAGGTGCCTCTGACATGCTCCTGCTTCCCTTCAGGGCCACCTCAGACTGCAATGATTTCGGGCCAGTAAGCCAAGTGACAGTTCCAGAAGTGATATTCCTGATCCTGCAGGGATCTGACCATCCTTTGATGTGGTACGATGGAAAGGGAAGGAAGAAGATCCGGTGCATCAAAACTGCAAACCTCTCTATTGCTTAAATCCTCCTAAAATGAGCTGGAGCTTGGCAGGAAGCAGGCAGAAGGAATGAGGTGCTGTTGCATCAACATCTTTAACAGACTAGTTTTCCCTTCTCCTAAATAGAAAAGAAGGGTATCAGTGACAGCATCATCTTCTTTCACTCCCGGAGCTCAAGTCCGCACAGGACCGAGAGTGACGAGACTGAGAGAGGAGAGAGTGTGTGAATGCATGAGTGTGTATGTAAGGAGAGCGGAGAGGCAGTGAACAGGCAGGAGGCTGTGAGCACAAGTGGAGTCAGAGACCAATGTGAGAGGAGAGGATGCTTAGAGGAGGAGGAGGAGGAAGGTTATGGAGAGAGAGAGAGTGAGAGCATGCACTGTCAGAGACTACATAAACAGCAGCGAGGAGGTGGAGTTTTCCTTTCAGTGAAGACGGCGGTTAGGGGGACCAGGATCTGAAGCCTCAAAGAGAGACGAACAGATGCATGTTTATGAGTGAGAGGCAGGAGGAAAGAGAGGGGAGTCTAGGAAGGAGCAGACGTGGGAAGGTTGAATGAAAAACCAAGAACACCGTATGTTTCAGGAGCTTGTGAAGCCACCTTCAGCAGCAGTAACTTCGGTCTGATTTCTGACGTTAATAAATTATACCACTGTTTCCAGCTGTACAATGTGTCATAAAATTTTAGAGATATTAGGTCCTTAAACTGCTCTCTTATGTTTTTTATGTTTATGTTTTTTTAAACCAAAATTTTGGATTATTTTTAGTTCAGTTTAGGACAAAACTTTTCATCTGTGATGAAGGCAAGCTTTGATAAGCATCATTTGACACGACAAATCCCAACATGTCCAATGTTGGCATGTTTTCTGGGTAAATGTAGCCGCCTTATGTCTCCCATCATCCGGCATTACAACATCAAGCCTTGAAACTGAAAAGCTGGGTTACTCTTATTTAAGTTGACAACCTGGTTGCTTAGAGGCACATCACTACAAGGTTAACCTCAGCCCTTTCATAAAATCACATACAGGCATATAGTGCACAAGTCTGAGCTTGTAAAGTAAATGGCAGATGGTCAAGTCTAGTGCCGCAAAAAAAGTTAGAATAATAATCCTTTCAGCAACCTCTGCTACAGTTGCTATAGGTGATGGGTGCTTTTTCAGATGCGAGATTGCTGCCGTCATATGATGATAGAAGATCATTTTTCCTTCCATCTTTTACTGCAGCTCATACTTATTCAGTACTGCTTTTAGATTTTTTTTAGATTAGATTTAACTTTATTGTGATTACACAGGTACAGGTACAAGGCAACAAAATGCAGTTTAGGTCTAACCATAAGTGCCATAGCAGCAAGTGCAGGATAAATAATGGTTCTATAAATACAGGACATGGGATTCTACTGGATAAGTATAGAGATGAATACCATTATAAACAGAATCTTACTAATAGATAAATGATATATAGCTAAGTAGTGTTATGAACTAAATTTACAGCTGGATAATTACCAAATATAATATACAGGTGGATTTTCCTACTATATCGAACATTTACATGTACTAGAGTCTGAAATTGAGCTCTTGGGTTAATTGTTATTTCTGATAATCACATGATTTCACTTTGAAGTAAAAATAATGGGACATTAATATTTTTGTACCTCAATGTAGAAATAAAAACCTAAGATAGCTTGTAAATGCTCCTATCAACACAGATAAATGAGTTTCAGTAGTTTCTGGCAACTGTTGATGTCATTCCACCTTTCAGTAATTGTATTTATTCATTATGCAGATCATTTCTTTAAGTGCTCAAAGTCACAATTTTCTGCACTGCCGAGGAGCTACATCTGACATCTGTACTTGCCAATTTAACCCTTGGACGCATTCATGTTGTTTTTTATTTTTTATGATGAGGTTTTCTGTTTTCTAGAACTGGAAGTGAAGTTTTCATTATGAGCTAATCATTTCCTATGTTCCTGGTCAAATAATTTAAACTGTAAATGCTGGCAAATTATTGAACAACATCTTCAAGTTGATTGCTGATGTTTATCTACCTTTAAAGTGTGTTAAAAAATTCTATGTATCAAAATTGCTAAGCATACCACATGGTATAAAGGATGGGTTGCATCAATAAGAAGACTCAAATTAAATCAACTCTTTAAAACCATTTGTCCTTGTTCCATTTAGTATTCTTATAAAGAACTCTGAGGAAACAAAGGAATGAATGTACAAAAGGATTTATTGAATATTTAACTGTGGGAGATGATCCAATCAAGAGACAGTGGACGAAAACAGGCAAGACACCTTGCTAATTACAACAGTGTGTGAGGGGGGTGGGGGGTCTTGAATGCACTTACTAGTGAGATGAATGAAACCCACTGATGAGGGTCTTGTTCACCAGGGAGAGATAAGTGAATCCTAAGTTGGATTGTGGTTGATTGTGTGTCAGACAATCTAGGAATAGTTCCTGGGAGTGTCATGTGTCATGAGTGGAAGTCGTGTGGTTGGCTGAACTGATTGGACATTTAAGATGACTGGGCGGGTGGCCTGTGCAGACAAATGGTGGAGAGACCCAGAAACTTACCAGTCATGGGAAACTTGACCAAGTACAGAAGGAGGATTGGACGCAGGTTTAGTTTACGCAGGAGTCCAGGAAGCTAGAGTCGAAGGGAAAAATAACAACCAACAACAATGGATCCTGACATTATTAAAGTAAAGGTTGTGTTGGATGTGCTTTGACTTCTTTTTTCAGTTTATCGTCTTTATCCCTATGGTGATAACTACAAAAAGTCAATGTTCTAAGTTCTGAAACTCACACTAATACATTTCATGCATTCATACCTGAAAACATATTTACAAAGTTTACACTTATACATAAACTTTATTTAAGAATTCCTAATATTGTTCTTCTTTAAGAAGCTGTTACAACTGAAACTCTGGCCTGTTATGTTTTTATTAGCTGGTCATTGATATTTGATATTATTTAATTTTTTTGAAAAAGTACATTTCTTTATAACAATTAGACTCTAGTTTTTTGTTTTCTTAGTTGTTTGTTTGCTTGTTTCTATTGATCAATTCAGTTTATGTAAAACAAATGTGGCCCTCATAACAAAGACAAAGGATTGTACAAGAATGGTCACAGATTGACTGCGTTTTCGATACATATTTTTCATATTTGCAGAGGAAATATTTGTCTCCTGTCTGGCTAATGAAACCTATTTCTCAACTATAAAGTGCTGCTTATGTGCAGTTCATGACAGATACAATATCTGTTTGTTCAAATTTGGGGCTGTCCGTTTTCTACATGTAAATATTGTTGTTTTGTAATTAGATGTCACAGTCACTGGGCTTTACCCCAATAAGTGTAGTATTGCTGATGAAGGTTCTCAGTCATCCAGGTCATAGTCATTCCGTAAAAATTCAAAAAATATCCACTGGACTTGGTTTTCAAGATTTGAAGACGTTTCGCCACCTCTCCAGGAAGCTTTCTCAATTCAAAAGTCTGTGTCCGCAGTGAGTTTGAGTCTTATATAGACAACGCCTTGTATCGCTTGGAAACATGCAATGGTAACCGATGAATGGGTCGTTAGTTCCATCGTTAGCCTGTAATATCTGAACCTGTCTATGATTCTAGGGGTCGGTCGTTAAAGGGGGGATTGTCTCCTGTAATACCTGAAACCTGTCTATGATTGTTAAGGGTTGGTCGTTAAGGAGGTATTGTTCACCGGCTGGGGCGGGTAGGTCCCTCGTTCCTCTGTGATGGGGTGGGGGGTTTGGTGATATCTGGAAGGGATCATATCTATGATTGAATTGTATGTTTTTGGAAGCTGGAATCTGAGTCCACCACCTCTGTTTAAAGTTGTTTAAAGAGAGAAAAAACAACTGTGCAAAATGTGCATCATTCCTGCTGCGAAAAACAAAGGTTGGTCACTGATGTTTTGGTCATGCTACAGAGGTACACAAAGATTTCTGAAATCACTGACCCTCATCAGCCTGATTCAAACGTCTGCCTTGTTTTGTTGACATTCAGGATCAGATGATTGTTTCTACACTATCCCACAAAGCGGTTCACCAGCTACCTGTACTCAGCTTCTTGTTGATATCTGATGCATCTCACAACTGTACAGTCATCTAAATATTTCTTCAGATGTCAGTAGTGAAAGGCGAAGATGTTCAGACTAAAAAGGAATGGTAAGAGTATCATCCCCTGCAGGGCTTTTGCCCTGCTGACTACCTGGTTAGACCCTTGACCTTTCTATCTCCTGAACTCTGGTTTGATTGTCAGGTTGTCTTTGATCCAGGTAATTATTGATGCCTCCATCTGTGTTTATGACAAAGTAAATTAGGCTGAATCATGATAAATTCATGGCGGAAAACAGAGAACATAATCCTCACTCTGCTGCCTGCCTCTTCTAAATCAGGATATCTTAACCCTGGTCATCAGGGTCAACTTTCCTACATGTTTTAGGTGTTTCCCTGCCTCTATACATCTGACTTGAATAAAAAGGTGACTAATAGAATGTTGCAACATTTAATGGCTGCAGAGGATGTAATGCAATCGTTTGAATCAGGTGTGCTTGAATAAAGGGACACAATCCTGCATTGTTTCAATACCTGCCACAAAATGTAACTACAAATAAAGGTTTGGATTCAAAGTATTCTACAGGATAGTTTGTAACATTAGCTTTAAGTAGCAATTGTAGCTTAATATTCAAATGTTTTACTTTTTAAAATCATGTTTGACCGTTAGCAGCTTTTAGCCTACTTTTTGCCTCTACTCTGTGTACCTGCTCATTAATTCAGATTTGCACATGCACACATTTTTTGTTGTTGTTAATAATCCCCCAGAACTCCATTCCTAGATCACTCTGTCTGCCATGTATGCAGTGCTGATGTGATCTGGCTTTTCTATTATGACAGTATCCATCTGTCTCTATTTTTATTTGTAGACCTAGGTGTAAAGTTTATTCAATATACTTGTACTACTTTGCACTGAATAAGTTAAGATGCCTCCCTTGCCTTGCTGGTGTTTTAGTATTTAAATATCATCTTGCAAAGTTTCTATATTTAAACCATCTTGTGGTTTTTGTTTTTATAATATTGGTGAAAGGACAAGAGAGAAAAAGTTTTTGGCACATATGTATTATACTAAAATATACATTTATATAGATGACTACACACAAATAAACAAACTTACTTTAGAGGCATAACTGTGCAGAACACACAAATTCTGTATACCTACACACCTAATTTGCTGAGAGAGCTTTAGCACAAGTGCAATCAATACTTGTTATGAAAA